CTCCCCAGGGAGGGCAGGAAGCAGACTGGCAGCCCTGCTGCAGCAGCGCCCCTGCCTGCTCTCTCCGTTTTCCCAGGACGGTCCCAGCTCCTGCAGCCAGCCCATCGCTTAGGGGCTGAGCGCGCCTTGCTTCAGTCCGGGAGCAGGAGCTGCTTTTGGAGAATTCACTCGGGAGCCCCTCTGGCTTCTCTTGCCTTTAGCCTGTGTTTCCACGGGCCGGTGGTGCTTTGTGGGAGGGGCTGGAGGCTGGGCCCAGCCCTTCCAAGCAGCTCCGGCTCCTGCCTGCTTGAAGGCTTTGGGTGGCACATGGGGGTGCACCGAAGAAGAGCAGCCCTTGAGAAGCTGAGCTGGGGAAAGGGTTAGGCCCAGGGGCCGGATGTGGCCCCCAGCTTGCCTGGATCCAGCCCCCAAGGCTCAGCGTTCCCCCCCAGCATTGGGGAGCCTGCGCGGGTGCCACACACACACGCCATTCCCCCATGGGGCTGCAGCCCACAGAATCTACTGGCCTGGGCCCTGGCTCTGGGGCGTGAGGGGAACGTGGGGAGGGTCTTTTTCCTTCTCGGCCAGGGGCCACGGCAGTGAGGGGTTGGGGTTTTTGGCTTCTCACGTGTGTGCAGCCCCCGACTGATTTTGCTGTGGGTCAGCGGGCCCCCAACCAATTCCCCACCCCCACTCTAGGCATCACACTCCTAGTGATATGCTAGGCCCAGGGAGGGCTGGGCCTTCCACTAAGATCTCTGGGCTGGGCTGGGCCTTCCACCGCCTCCCCCCGGAAACTGACTGATCTGCCCTGCCTGGCAGCCCCGCACAGCCGTTTGCTAGCACTGCTTTTCCACGGGGACCATGGCAGGAGCTGCGGGGGGAGGAAAGGGGGACAGTCACCTGATTGTGTCCACCTTTGGGGAAAGCTGAGAGTTCCTGCCCTCGAGAGCCCTGGGGCCCTTTCCGGCCCGGGGAGCAGATGGCCTGGGACATGTCTCTGATCCGCTCGGTCGGTTACATCACACCCCGTGCCTGCCGGGACTAACTGGGGAGAAAGGGCCATTCCCTGGCTCCCAGTCCACGGGGGCAGGGGCGTATTTTCGGGG